CCAGGATATCATCCCCTTCCCGCGTAACCCATCGGGCGGGATGAAAACTGTCGACAAACCGGCAAAGAACGTCGTACGCCCGCTGATCTTCCGAGCACATGTCCCCGACAGCGGTATGGTAATAACCTGTCCCGTGCTCGTAATGTCGGGACATCCAGTACACCGGGAACTTAGCCCTACGACCCAACACGGGGCTCCCGTCGTCGGCCACCATCGTTTCCCCATCATCGTCGCTCACTGGCCCCTCCTCCTCGAAAAGGGAATCTAAGGCAGCATCGGTAATTGGGCGTACCACATACCATTTGTCTTTAAACCCCCTCACGGAGTCCATATACATCTTAAAAAGTCTCCTCGACTGCTTCAGGGAGACCCAGCTATGCTTCCCTCCTCGGGACTGACGCTGCAGGTGAAATACCCGAAAGAAAAGAGGGATGGTCGCCCCTATCCTCAAGTAACGACACGTCAACTCAAACGCCCGGATGAAGGCGAGAGAGTTTGGGTGTAGCTGGGACGGGGCCAGCTCCAAGTGCATAAAAACCCCGGCCTGAAAATCAGTGAACGGCAGCCGCAGCCCTAGGTCTTTAAACGCGATCTCATACATCGCGAGGCTGTAATTCGGATAGACCGAGCAAATCCTTGCGCCGGTCGACGGAATCATGACTACGAAGTTTTGTTGGAAGCCGGGCTCGTCTTGACCCTCTTCAATAGCAGTGAATGGATGTCGGTCATCCCGACTATATACCGACACTGTCCCCCGCGGCTCGACACCCACCCATTCCAGCAATGGGTCGGTCACGGTATCAATCAGGGTGGCCGACTCGTCGGCACTCTGTTCTTCACGATTACGACGTCCGGAGGAGCTCGGCTCGTCCGCCATGGTTACCTGCAGAGCACGGGAAACCAATCAGTTGAGCACGAAGTCCTATGCTCGACAAAATCATGTCGTCCCATACACGACTACACAAGTCCGTTTCCACAAATGGATGCCTCCCCGACTCTCCTGAACCCGGTGTTCTTCCTCAAACCAACTGCGCGGCCACTCTTCAAGCATGTCGACCCGAGATATGAACATGGCGAGCCGCACTATGAAGCCCACGGCCACGACCATGAGCATACCGGGCACGGTCATGAATCAGGCGCCCCGGATCATGAAGACCCCGGGCAGCTCTGAAGTTTTTCACCTAAAACTATGAATGTGTCGGCCACAAACATGCGTTTGCCGGTCCTAGACATGAATATGTCGGGCAAAACACGAGTTTACCGGGCTAATCCCACGCGCACGGTCCTAAAACATCTACAAATTCCAGGAATCATGCATTCTAAACGGAAAAATGAAGAAAGTAGATCACTTACTTGGATCAAAGTGTGGGATTTGGCTACGAAATGGAAGAATCTGAGACGGGAAGTCGCAACTGGAGAAAGTGTGGGAGAGCAGCAACAGAGAGAGCACGGAGAGCGGAAAACGTATTATGGGGCCCAAGGTTCCTATTTATAGTGATGACATGGAATACCAAACGTCACCTCGGGCAACCACGGACTCCATCTCCTCGACGCGCTGCTCCCAACGCAATGATGGCCCTACCCCCATATGGTGGCGGCACAATTCCCGAAAGATACCTCGTGTGCTCGACCGACGCGCCCGACAAGGATTCCCCGCGCATCCATCTCCGAGGGCGTCTTCGAGCACGACAAGAGGAGGCCCCTCGAGGGCCCCCCACGTCTATCCCGGGCACGAGACCTCAACGAGGGAATAACTTTGGTTCAAGTCATGGCTCCTCGCCAAGGAACCACGACTTGGGGGGCTCCTGTTCTGGACTGGGCCCGACAGGCCCAAGAGCGTTACTAAGGCCCAATCCAAAAGGACTTACGGAGGTCCACGCCGGGCAAAGGAGTCACATCCGTGCCCGACATCCTGATGTCCAGCTCGACATCCCGCTGTCTGACTCACGTGATGATGTCCAGCTCCACCTCCTGTCGTCCAGCTCGACGCCCTGTCGTCCAGCTCGACATCCTAACGTCCAGCTCGACACCATGCTGTCCAGCTCGACGTTGTCTCGAGCATCCCAACTAGGGCAGACTCAGCCCAACGTTCCCCGAACGATACTCCGGAAAGACCGCGTCTTCGTCCGCCCGCACTTCACGCAACACATCCAGGAAGGGGACCACGTGCAGGTCCCCACTACCCACGTAGAACCTGGCAGTTCCTCCATTGGGCCAAATCCGCCCGGCACAATGAAGGAACCTTGGCCCAGCGCTGGGGGCTATAAATACCCTCTGTTTCCAGAGGGTCAGGTATTCATCATTCTAACCTCAACTCTATTATCTGCTCGTACTCCCACTGACTTTAGCATCGGAGTGCCTTGCAGGTACCCCCCCCTCCTCGTTCAAAAAGCTTTCTGCTCGGAGCCAGCCGTGACGGTCCAAACCTTCTGATCAGGTGAGATCACTAACATAGTAGGTTATTTGATGTATCATATGGTTTGTACTAGACCCGACATAGCATATGTGTTAAGTCTTGTAAGCAGGTATATGGTGAATCCTGGAAAGACTCACTGACAAGCATTAAAGTGGATTCTAAGGTGCATAGATGGGTCTCTGAACAGAGTCCTAATTTATGGTGGAGCCTGTGGTGAAGATAGTAAAGCAGTAATCAAAGGATATGTCAACTTTGATTATGCGGGTTGTATGGATTCTAGGAAATCTATTTCTGGATACATGTTCATTATGTTTGACACAACAACCAGTTGGAATGCGACATTTCAGAAGGTTGTTACCTTATCAACCACTGAAACAGAATATATCACTCTCACTAAAGTTGTGAAAGAAGCATTGTGGCTTGAAGGTTTGTCTAAGGAGCTGAAACTCAAGGCCGAGTTATCACTGTTAATTGTGATAGTCAAAGTGTTATACACATGTCAAAGAATTCAGCCTATCATGAGCGAACTAAGCACATCGATGTGATGCTGCATTTCCTCAGAGGGGTAATCGAGCGTAGAGAAGTTCAAGTGTTGAAGGTTTCGTCTCATCACAATGTTGATGATATGATCACTAAGATATTGCTAAGTTGCAAATTTTTCACTGTATGCAGTTGATAAAGTTGCATGAAGAAAGCTAGTTTGTTCCTTCGATGTTATAAAATTTGTTCTAAGGTGGAGATTTGTGAGATATTGGATCGAACTCTAGTATGGTCGAAGGGCGGCTTCTTTGTTTGATAATTCAACAAGATCTTAGCATGTCGTCGAAGTCTATTCACATGTTGTAGTCGAAGCCCTGCAATGTTGTAGTCGAAGCCCTGCAATGTTGTAGTCAAAGTATACTCAAGTATTCATTAGTAGAAATGCTAGGATTGTTAGCATGTCGAATTGAGCCTGTTAGTTAAACCCAATTGTTTAAGTTAGTTTATTCCCTAAGTTAGTTTGTGTAATACATCTCTGTGTAAAAGCCTATTAGTTTATTGTGTTAGTTTTTTTTATAAATACCATACTAGTCTCTCATCATTAAACAATGCAAGTCCTAATTAAGATGAGAGAGATTATTTTTTATTATGTAACACTTGTAATTTTGTTTCAAAGAGAAAGTAAAGAATTAGTTTATAACCAATTTCATTGTGTTCTTCTTACTTCTTTCTTTCATACTCTTGTAGATTTTTTACCAATCAAAAAACCGATTATACTTTGTTATTTCGGCATCAATTTTACAACAACTTATATATGTATGACTTGCACACCCAAAAAAAAATCTTTTCGACTAAAAATCAATTATAACAAATTCAACTTACTTTCACCTAGCTTGGCAAGAAACTTTCTACGACTAGCAGAATGAACACGAGTATTATTTTTATCCAAATAAACCTGTAGAATATGACTAGGCGGAATGTTGCACTTTCCTTAAAAAAACTGCTAGAAACCCCTTTTTTTCCTTTAAATTCTAAATCACTTATTATAAACTTATTAATATCATTGACCCTCATATAATTAGTTTATTAATGGAGTCATGTTGACGAGAAAAAAAGAAAATGTTGAGATAATTATGAGACATATAATATCATTCGAGAGTATGGTTGACTTAATGAAAGTGTATAAAGGTTCACAAGTCAGAAAAATGGTATACTATTTTTTTAATAAATAAAAACTAATATTATTTAGTACGAATTTTTTATCCACGAAACATACGAAACCAAGAGGTATCTCATGTTTGAGAATTGTAATTTTCGTATTTGATGGAATAAAAGTGGTATGGTATATTATAAAATCGTATCAAGTATTTACCACATAATATCTTAATTTTTTGTTTGTAAAAAAAATCTTATAAAAATTAAATTTAAGAATAGTTTTGGTCCTATTTGTAGCCACTTACGAAATTATTTTTTTTACTTTAAAGTCAACTAGTTTTATAGTCTCCTCTTTAAATAAAGTGGCATATGATATGCAATGTAAAATGATCAATACCGTTATAATTGAAAGAGAAAAAAACTCTTAAAACCTTTAATTAAACTTCAATTATTTTTTCAAAATAATTTGCATGTAAAATGTATGGAATATGTGTAATATACATATTGCATTTGTATCATCTAAGTAAAATTAAAAGGTTAACTTTAAAATGTAGATTGTTTGATTTCGATAGAAGCTAATAATTTTGTAGGCAATGAAAAAGATAATATGTGTGCCTAAGGGGTTTTATTTAGCAACATGATAATATTGATTAGAGACAAAAATGCAAGAAAAAATTGTATTTAAGATAGAAAAATGGCCCACGTTGTCTATTGGAAAAGTAGCATGCATTCGAAGCTCCATTGGGGTTGGAACTTGCTTTGCCCATTAAACACTTATAGTCCCCACACCCACATGACTCGTGTTCTATCTTTTTAGTTCTATAAAATCCTCACATCATAAATACCTCTTCATCCACTTTCATCTCATAATCCACCCTTTTCTTTTTCTCTTCACTTCTCTAGCCCCAAAAAATTAATATTCAAAGTTGGAGGTGCGAATAGCAAAACAATGGCCTTGAGAAAATCCAACAAACTTCCACAAGCTGAAGTTATCAAGCAAATTCTCAAAAGATGTTCAAGTTTTGGCAAAAAGCATGGTTATGATGAAGAGGATCTTCCTGAGGATGTACCAAAAGGTCATTTTGCAGTTTATGTTGGTGAGAATAGAACAAGGTACATTATCCCAATTTCTTGGCTATCACGGTCCTCAAATTTCAAAGTTGTTACCAAGAGCTGAAGAGGAGTTTGGTTTCAATCATGATATGAGGACTTACTATCCCTTGTGATGAAGTTGTTTTTGAATCATTAACTTCATTGATGAGATAAACAAACGAGGATTAATAGATTTACTTAGTTGGAGACCTTCATTCAACATCACAAGATCAATTTACGGCGAGTTACACATAATCACACTAATTATCAGTGACACTGATTTACAAAAACTCGAATTTGTAATATTCAACAAACTTAAGGTGGCAATGTGATGATAAAGTTGTACTAATACATTTTAATAACATTTTAAGTTTCGTATAGTAAATGTATATATATAAATCGATATATATGTGTGGATTGGTATCCAACCAGATAATTTCTTTAGCAATGTCATTGTATCTTGAGTAATGATTTATTAAATGAAGCAATGTTGTACTAAGGATGAGGGTACACTATTGTCCTTTTTAATTTTTTGATACCCTTTGCTTAAACTTTCATTTATTTCCTTGGTAAATGAGACTTGAAAGAGAAGGGCTTAATTGCAAATAAATTATTTTAGACATTAATAAAATTCAAGTCTTTTTGAAGAAAAAAATAGACATTAATAAAACTCGTCGGAAGATTGGATTATCAATCCTATTGACCGTTTGTATTGGGTCGAATTAATTTTTTTTCCGTATTAAGTTGAGTATCCATAATATTTCTTTCAATATAATTCTTTTAAAAAGAAAAGAAAAAAGATCATGTCATATCTTATAAATTTTTTGATTAATTATATAATTGATTTTAAATTGTGATTATAATATGACACTTACATAATAATAAATGCAATTACAATTGTAATTACGTATTGAAGTGAAAAACTTTTATATTATCGTAACTGTGGACAATAATTTAAAATCAAATAAAAAAATATCAAAATTCTATTTTAAGATTGTAAATATTTTATCATAGATTTTTCTATGAGAATTTAGTCGAGGTAAAAACTTTAGCAATAGTTATTTTACAAATTTACAAACTCCATATTTTTTAAATCCCAAACAATATTTAGGTAGCACCGCTTTACATTTCTATATTCAATTCAGCATGTGAGTAATTAATAAAAATGAATATAAGTTATATCCATAAAGAGTTGAATAATAGAGACATTTATAGGCTAACCTAAATTGCAAAAGTTTATTGCATTACGAAATACAATATGCATGTATATACTCTTATGAACAAAATTATGAATACTCTAAGTTCATTATGTCACATCACTTTCATCGCGATTCAGGGTAAAGCTAGATTCGTTTTCTTTTTTCCTCAAACAAGTTCACTAAATATAAGAATTAAAAAGTACTTAGAGGAGTAGCTATCATCATGTTTAGGGAAAATTATATGCTAATTAGTAATTAGGCACCTATTTTTTTTCATTCATTGGCTTGGCTTTATTTCTATCTTAGTTAATTAATATATGACATGAAATCCAAATAACTCAAATTAGATTAGATGTGTTTAAATGTTTCATCTCATGCTTTGATTAAGGAAAATTTATAAGAAAGTGGTGTTTAAAAAAGAAAAATAAACTTTGTGTCAAAAAAATATAAAAAGGAAAAATAAACTATAGCTTAAATTTTTAATGGTGTATCATTCCCAATTGTACGGCTAATATAAGTTTGGACATTTTCAAAAATAGTTAATTTTTCTCTTCCACACAAAATATAGGACTAGTATAAAGTACTTGTCCATACAATTAGAAGTACCACTACTTAGATATTTTCCCTTGTAAATTAAATGAAAACTATAGTGCATTATATTGGTCACATGTTATTGTCTACTTGGCAATAGTTGCCACTTAAAAATTGATTTATAATAATTAAATTAAATTACATATTACACAATAAACCCATGCTTAACTGGCTAATCCATCTACAACATTGTTCATTTGGAGCACATGGGAATGGGGGCCTCATTGTCTATAAAATAAGGTCTTCAAGACAATTAAGCACTTAATCTTTTTGTCTTTTCTTTGATTAAGAGATAACAAAATCTGATTACCTTAGCCACATACGTAAAGCAAAAGTTTATTATAATGTTTATTTAATAATAATGATATTATTAGAGGTTTGTATGGACAAAAGGTTTGTTTAAAAGTGAACGTATTTGTTATATCGGTTGTT